TTTATTCAATCTAATCAGATTTGTACCAAAATCCATAAATTTACACCAATTTATACACCAGTGAGCTACTTGAGTAGGTTTCTTAGAAAGAAATTGAGTATGCAGTTTTGTTGCCCATTCAGTTCTTTAAAACAAAAAGATGTTTGGAAATTTTTTTTGTTGAAGGTGTTGCTCATATTCTCCATATAAAAAAATCATCGAACATACTTCGTATGGCAGAAAATGACTGACATCGTCAACCAAACAAATGCCAAAAATCAACGAAAGGTCCTAGGTACTTCAAACTTGCACTTTATTTTACTAAAATTTAATGGGCTACAAAACTGCAACCCAATATCTTTCTAAGAAACCTAATTAAGAACATCGAAATTTTTTCGAAAGTTTGTTGGTTTTTTCTCAAATATTGCACAAACTTTGAAACTTGGATTTATGTGTGTTTTGTTAAAGAGCATAGTACATTTTTATGAAAAAATAATTGAGATTAAATAGTAATAAAACAATTTGTCAAAACTTGTCATTATGTGGGTGTCGTATAGTTATGATAAGCACTAGAATATGTATTATTCTTGACTTTCGTCTTCAACGTCAATGTTTGTTAATTGTGCTTCATTATTATTATTATTTTTTATTTACATAACCAAAGTTTTTATAACTCCAAGTATTTTTCTGTTTGAAAAAAAACCAACAAACTTTCGCAAAAATTTCGATGCTCTTAATTAGGTTTCTTAGAAAGATATTGGGTCATCGACATTTTTTCTAAAGTTTATTGTTTTTTTAAAATATTGCACATTTTTGACAAAGTACAAACGACATTTTTATGAAAAAAGTAATTAAGATTAAATAATAATAAAATACGGATTTTTTTTTATTAAAGAATTAGCTGTTCTATAAAATTATTTTAAAATGTATGTTATTGGGAACTGAAAATAAAAATAAAAATATAAAGCGAAATATTTTTAACAAATTTGTAATCTTTTTAAGTACAAACAAAAAATTTTCATATGTTAAGATTTTTTAAATATTTCGCTTGCCATGTTGGCGTTTTGAGTTTTTGGTAAATGACTTTAGATTCGTAATCAGAAACCCAGAAAACCCGCAGATACCCAGTTACATAGAAATCTACCGTTTTTTTTTAATTTTCGTCCGCCATATTGGTTCCGCCATTTTGAATTTTTGGTAAATGACTTTAGATATGTAATCAGTGACCCAGAAAACCCCCAGATACCCAGTTTCATCGAAATCTACCAATTTGTTTTTTTTTTTTAATTTCGTCCGCCATGTTGGATCCGCCATTGTGAATTTTTGATAAGTGACTTCAGATTCAGTAATCAGTGACCCAAAAATCCCCTAGGTAAGAAGTGGTGTAAAGATCCATCAACGAGTATTTGTTTAAATAGTTTCGTCCAGCTAGATTTGCGATCCGAACCACTGTGCGTTGGAACTGCCTTAAACTGTACTGTAAAAAAATAATAAGAAAATAATTTAATTATAGTTGACATGTTTTAGATAATGTTTGAGAAACTAATACAACAAAAAGATCAATCGTTTTATGGTCATATCGCTGGGTCGTTACGTACCAGTTGCGATAATATGGTGGAGCTTAAATTATTTAAAAAGAAGGCTGAAATTTTTGTCGAGTGTTGTTAGTTATCCGGAAAATAACTTTCAGTTTAATAACAATAAATTCGAATATTCGAATGTCTTTTGCCTATATTTTACAACTCTCTATCACAACAGGATTTTGAGATATTCTAACCTATAAGTGCAAAAATTATGGTTTTTGGGCACATTTGAGCTCCTGTAACTAAAATTCATCTCAAAGCTTTAAAAAATCTTTATTTGTCACCGAGAAGTCGTCTGTTGAATTTACTGAGATTAGTTTTCTGCGGCTATGCACGTCATACAGATGCATCGGATTGAGGGTGCTAATTCACCAGACGACTTCTCGGTGACAAATAATAATTTTGTAAAGCTTTAAAATGAATTTTGGAGGGGAGGAGTAGTACTTTTAGATAACGAGCTGATCGTTCTGAAAAAAAATTTTTTTCATCTTGTTACAGGAGCTCAAATGTGCCCAAAAACCGAGATTATAGTCTGGTTTCTGGGTAAAAGTTTTGTCGGCCTGTGTTATTTTTGGGAAGAAGAGGAGAATTTAAATTGCTTTTTTAGCAGGAAAAAATTATCAAAGTGGCACAATGAAGAAATCAATTTTTCCCTTGAGTTGTGGGAAAAACAACCACAACAAATCTGAAGGCTAATAACACCTTGCAACAATTTTATGACAATTCAAACCAGCCCGGAAGCTGATAATATTTTCTGAAAGTATACATATCCAGTAATAAAACACTCGATGGATTTGTAAAAGTTAGCTCGAATTTTTGTTTTATGGCCTACCAAAGTTTTCATATTCCGGCCTACGTAGTTTTCAAAAATGTGGAAAAAATTTTTAAAATAAATGCTTGAGGGAAATTAAAGGTTTAGACATATGTGGTGAAATTTAATGGGAAATATTTTCTTAAAACATTTTAACCCATGTTTGAAAGAGAGGTGAAACCACCCCTGCTTACCATGTAGCGGTAGATTTCGGAAACGTAAAATAACTGTATTTAATACTTGCGCCGGGTATTTAATATTCGGCTCCGCTCGAACTGAGACTTTTTTACTTGTTGTAGAACATTTTAACCCATTAGCTACCGCCTGAAAAGGTCGTTTTGACTCTTAATTCAAGAAACTCCATAAAAAGCAAATTTGAAAATTCGTCAGGGGATGGATATATTCTAGAAAATTATTCTTCGGAAAGTTCTACTAGAGGTCTTGTCAGGTAAAATCTCCATGCCACCAACGTAAAAGCCGCTAAAAAATTCAGTTAGACGTAATGAGATAAACTTATAAAGTTATATGTAGGCGGTATCATGCCCTTTTTCCAAATTTCCAGAATAATGTTACCTCTTTTCAAGGGATTAGTATAAATTTAGGGGTTAGTATAAATTTTGAGTAAATTAGCGTCCTTAAACTTCGAAATATCGAAGTTTCAAGCATTTCTGAAATTTACCGTTATATGGAAAGCGCGTAATTTTACTACGATTTCAATAATTTTCAACGTTTTGCTTTTATGTGGCAAGCACAGTAACCATACCGAGTTCGTACAAATTGATCGACCGGTTACCGAGATACACACACATCACGCCCATTTCCCAAATTTTTATCGTAAACTTATATTTTGCTGAAGAGTTATTGTAAACATCAATTTTGAATAAAAAGGCTGCAGTATTTACTGATTTATCGAAGACTTCGTATTTTTCTAAATTACCGTTATATGGAATGTTTGCATGGTTATTGTCCGATTTTAAAAATTTTGTTGTACCAACTGTACCAAGTTTGGGAGAAATTGGTGAAGCGGTTACCAAGGTATACACATGTAATCTTAAGCAGGTGGGGCTGCGCCCATTTTCCAAAACCTTATAATAGGTGGCAACTAAGCTACAAAAGAACACTCGCTTAAATGACGAAATACATGCAAAGCAACAACTCAAAATTGGCTATTTATCCGAGTTCAGCAAGGTCGGTAAAAAAATACGCGACCGGAAGGGTAGTGTTTGTAAGTAAAAAAACTGCTCTATTGTGAATTAATAATAGGGAAGTGAAGAGGGAAATTCTTGTTTTCGTATATACATGATTTATAATTTAAATAAGTATGTATATTACGCAATTACCTCGAATAATTACTAATTTCTATTGTATTTTGTGTCTACATCCCGTTAAACTAATGACATGTTTCATGTTGGTTGCTTAAGTAGATAAAGGGAAATTTACAAAAAAGAATTTCAGCTAATATTCATATTTTTTGGAAAAATATTATACCCTTGTGCACAAATGCGCTTGGGTATAAAAATATTTGAAAACTTTAGGCCATAAAATAAAATTACTAGCTAAGTTTTGCAACTTTTGTCTGTGTAAGCGGCGTGATTAGCAAATGAGCTTTGATTGAAATTATATTTTTATGTACGTTTTCTACTACTATGCACCATCTTAGTTTTTTGTGTTCACTGGTAAATCTATTATTCTTCACGGTAAAAACATTAACGGATACGAGTATATTTTTTATTCAATATATTGAATAACATAATCTTTTCAACTTTTGTGAAGGTTTATTGAGAGGGACGATATTTGTGTTAAGGTTAGGTTCGCGTTAGGAACATTTTTTTATTTTTTTAAATCACAAAGCACAATACATCCATATTTTACAGTCAAGCTAAAACATATAATTAAAGAAATTGGTGTTAGAACGAGAGATCTTTCTTTTTGTGTGTGAAACAAGATCTTGTAAATTAAATTAGCGTAGTTTCATATCTAAGTTAGTTAGAACTTTTTAAACTTTTTATAAATTGGTATCTACATAATCAAGAAAAATAAAAACTCAAAGGGGCAGCGCCCTGTGGAAAAAATGTGCAATTTTTTTCATTACGTTAATACCTAAATTTTTATATATAAACGAGGTATTAATACGCAAATACGCACTGAGACTATTAAAAACGTGAATTTTATAAAAATGCTTTCTGAATTGCTAATTTTGTTTTCAATGCTCAACGAATGATGAGAAATCGACCAGTCAAAACACTTACATTTTATGATTGAATTGCCGTTTACACTGGTCGACAAAGATCGACTAGAAAATCGACCACTGCAAATGCAGCTTAATGCTAACATTTTCGTATACATATGTAAGGTTTTTAGTACTTTTTTATTTCAACTCGTAAAATAAAACGTAGTTTTTCAAAGAAGCAATTTGCAGGACGTTCAGGACGTCCACTTTGTAGTGCGAAGCTGCCAAATACAACGCCTTTCATAATTGCATCATGATAGCATTCGACATCAATTTAAAGTCAAAAATGATTATACAAATTTAAAAAATAAAAATTATAACTGCCAACTGTACTTAAATACATAAAATTTACAGCGGAAATTTCTGGTATTACGTGGGCGAAAACAGATCAGATCAAATGGTTAAAGTGTGTTTTGCAAGTTCGTCCGAACAGGCAATGCCATCTGCCGGTTCTGCAAAGACTTCGTATAGCCGGAATGCTTTTATGCATTTTCTTAGTGAATATAGGCGCGTGTGTAATCGCCGTTCGCCAGCTTGGATGACAGCCGCTGAAGCAGGAGCGGTGTGGTCGCGGATGCCTCTAAATGACAAGTATTGCTACATTGAAGCGGCTCGCAATGCTGGGTATGTGTATACGGCGCGCGATCGACGCATGAATCGTGTGATGCGTCATCTACGCAAGTCTTTGACAGAACATGAGAGTCGAGTCAATTTGGTGCAGCTTTCTTCAGCCGTCAAGCAAATGCAGTTGTGGAAGCGCAAAACACTAGATGAAATTTGCCGACGTTGATAGTGTTAAGTTGTATAATGTGGTCCTGAATTCCATAATATTTGGTGTACTCTGTGTTAAAGCCCTCTGCGTGGGTGACGACTTTATAAATTTAATATTATAATTAAATTCTCAGTTATTAGAGCAATATTTAACGTCTTTGTAAGAACAGATGGAGGTATGCCTAGAAAGTTTTGAGAGTTGTCGAGTTACGTAATAGGTTGTTTACATGAGGTAATTTTACAGGAAATTTTGGCTTTGTGCAAATGGCCTTTCAACTAATCGCTTCTAATGCAGTTGGGGCAGCCAACTTTTGATTCAACTAATCGCCTCTAAACTTTCCGGTAAAATCGTCCCGTGTAAACACCGTATATTAATGACCGAAATAATAGATAGACCATTACGGATGAATACAAAATGAACATTGTGTAATGCACACGTCATATAGGGCAAAAACTATCTTATAATTTATTCCAAATAATCTATTTTTATATAAGACATTACCTAATTCTTTTAAATATTTTGCGATATTGATTACGATCCATCAATATTACGTGCTAAATGGTCAATAAATACTGCGATAATAAATATATCGTTTAGCAGGCGCCTTAAGATTAATCATCTCTTCACCTAGAAATCGTTCCCATACTCAAGAAAATGGGCATTGAAGAGCGTATACATTGCACAGTTGGATCGTAAATGTCTTCTTCTTCGTGCCCGTTTTAGCCCGGACTATTTATTGGGGCAAAAATGGATAAAGCGTCAAAGTGCGAATCAGCTGATTTATGTTTATATGCTGCTTGCATTTACTTTTTGTTTTTAAGAAATAGTGAATGGCCTATTGATATATTTTCAATCCTTATATGTTTATTCATTAATACAATCAAATTTGTGAAACGAAAATTCAATTTCCAAGTGTTTGCATTTAAGTGGCAACAACAAAAACAACTTTAATCAGCTCTTTCTCAAATTCTGGGCACAAAATGTGTTTTTTTTTCGTTCCGTACTTTTGGACATTTTACCATTTTTGGGAGCCAATTTTCTGCTTACTCTCTAATTACCGGATCTGGTCCGGTTTGTAAGGGAGTGAACTAGAGAGCTGAACGATTACATAAAAAAGTAACATGTTAATAATCGGCGATGCCGATACCGTGAGTACATGCTACATAACTGTAACAACTCGAACTAAAGGCGATATCATGTTGCTCAATTTACCAAAATTAATTAACAAAACGATACTCGATTCATTATGACTCAAGCGTAGCGAATTCAATCAGCGGATTAATATCTTTACCTTAATATACAAAGGCCCTATCTAACATGTCGGTTCATTGGCAAAGTGATTAAAAAACTCCATATAAAACTTACTATCCTCTAATTGGTAATTTCTTTAGAATGCTGTTTTTAAATGCTGACAGTAATTAAATAAATCATGCGGTAGTTGTCACAGTATATACAGTAATAAACCTTTTTGAGTACTCCTCGGGGGTAAAATCTGATCAGGGTTGATAATGAGAAGGAGCATGCATTTTGTTGATTCGGAGTTGTATACAAAATTACTGTGGTATGAAATGGAGCACAACCGTACTATGGTAGAGTGGCACAAGTCATGATTGTGTAATAGTGACCGAAATTAGTTACAAAAGTGTAAAGAATTGCAAATTATTCTCTATAGATACTAATACAGATTATCACAGTTCAGTGTTTAACTTGTTATACTACACAGTAAATGATAATGAACTGTTAAATGCTGAAAACGGTAGAACTTAAACCAAATTTTCGCAAAAATGCAAGTTCTTTGCCATTTCTCCGAGTAGTGAGTTTCTATATTCATTAGAAATTGCGAGAAGAGCAGGTAATTTTGTAAAAAAACACGTTTCTTATAATTTTAATAGATATGTAATTTCTATTTTCTAATATTCAGATGCAGTGGCATGTGAGGTTCACTAAAATCTACTCATCAAGTTTGAGCGAGTAATGGACCATTGAATGTACTGCTACGCTAAATTTTCTTCGCTTAAATTTTCTAAATGAAAAGCCCTAGGGCCTAAAAGTATACAACATGGAAGAGTAACACATGCGATGCGTAGTGATGGCAAAAAAAATTTAATAATCGAATAATCGGTTAATTGATTAATCGAAAGCATTCGATTATTAATTGAAATAAATCGTAAGAAATTAACCGATTAATCGGTTGTTTCGATTAAAATCGAAAATTAATCAAAACCATTTATAAGTTATAAAAACTGACTTACACCCTGTGACAAAATTATAGCACACCACGAGATTTTTTTTTTGTTATTTAATTTTAGTAATTTTTTTAAATATAGCTTATTCTTTAGCAAATAAAACGTATAAATATAAATATATCAAACTTTTTGCAATATTAAAAAAAAAACCTCAACAATAAATTCGAACTTTTTAATTAGATTTATTAGAAAGATTTTTGGTATGCAGTTTTGTAGCCCATTAAATTCTTTTATAAAAAATTGCAAGACTGAAGTATCTAGCTCATACCGTTGATTTTTATCTTTTTTTTTTTGGTAACGGCATTGCTTATTTTCTTCCATATAAAAATGAAGAAAATGCGCAACACCAAATTTGGAAAATACAATTAAAATATGTTCGTTGTGATTTTTTAGTAGCTACTTAGGTTAAACTTGTGTTGCGATTTTTTGCAACAATATCGTTTAAAAAATTTGCAGAATACGTCAATGTAAAAGACCTCCCAACTAATAACATATTTATGTATGTACTGAGTGGAGTGACATTTTTATTGTTGCTAATATTACTGAGTGATAAGAGTTCCAATTTTTGTTACGTAATTTTTACTCATACAATATTGTGTGATGTAGTCAATTTTCGATGGTTTCTTTTCGATTATTTTGAAAATTAACCGGTTAATCGCTCGATTAATCGAAAGGAAAATTTCGATACAATTAAATCGTTAACCGAATGAAAATAACCGATTATAATCGGCTATTTGATTAATCGAGCCATCACTAGTGATGCGTAATCAACCAAATCTGGCAGTGTTGCGTGTTGTTAGGGAGTCCCCAAGCAAATGCATGTACTGAATTTATATGGTAGCAATTCATAGCAATTACTATTTTATGTGTGTATGATTCATATTTGGGACATCCTATTCGGAAGTTTAGAATTCTGCTCGATAAATTCAGAAAATAACACAAAATTCACGTTTTTCCATATATGTAATACTCCTATATTGGCAGTAAGAGCTAGTACCGTCCGAAAACACTACAGTACAGATATATCAATAAGCACGTACGAAAGAAAAGGAACACATACGTTTATAAATAAACATGTACACGACACATTTACAAAAACGGCACTTAAGTACACAATACATTGGCAATAACAGTACTAGACTCCCAGTAGAAATTGTATGCATACGGCATCGCTGTTGGTTGCATGAGCTTGCTGCTGTGTATACATGCCAGTATAAATGAACGTTCATTTCCATTTAACACGCGTGGTTTCTCAGACCGTATGCGTACTCTAACCATACACTCGTACTACTGCTGTATGCTTGTGGCTGTATTAATGTTTCAAACATACAAAAATGCATTAATGGAACAGTATTAAAGCATTCTTACAAGATATGTATCCCTATATCTAAATGCTACTTCTCTGATACATTTTAATATACGGGGACATACAGAAAAGTAGCACTTACATATGCAAATGCATATCTTGTAAAAGCCCGTTTGTGCTGAAAATAGTATCGCACAACACGTCCGTTCACTAAAATTTTTGTACAAGACTGAAAATATTACAAAAATTCCACTTCAAATTTATCAAGAAATATACTTAAAACAACGACAACGTACATTCGCTTGCAATTCGCTAGAATTTGAATTTATTCCTGGAAATTCATGACTGCGCATGAATTGTTCACACTAATTCACTCATATAGAAAGCATTCTTCGTGAATGCATACATCCGATTTCTACTGGGCTGTCTCGCTTTGATTTCGGAATGCTTACACATTGAGATGTTAGCTTACTACCAATATAGAAGTATTACATATATGCGTTTTTCATAAAAATATAGTCATAAAAGGAAATTTTTAAAATTTTAAATTTACCCTGCAAAAATGGGACTAATCCGGGATGACTCCGGGAGCAATCGCAAAGGAGCATGCGACTAATACCACTTTTGATCTCTTTATATAGAATGAACTGATCGCTTTTGTTCGAGCATGTCCTATGAAGAGACTAATTGTTCACCTTTATACCCGAACAGGTTTAAAAAGCGACTAGTCACTTTTAAAAAATAAAAATAAAAATTTGCGCCAGCTGAGATTCGAACCTAGGTGCTCAGTTTTGTTAGGCGAATACTCTCTCTGTGTGCCAACGCCGCACATGAAATTTCATTGACTAAGTGCGTACATCATTATATAAATAGGCAATCATGTTTCCTTTACACCCCTTTTACGGCTAAACTATACTTCTAAGGTATAAACAATTATATATCATTAGAAAGGTATTTTGATGCTGATGTGCAGGCAATTTTTCAAATTTCAAATTAGTTTAAAATAGAGCGAAAAAATCAATTCAAAAGTCACACCAATACCAATGCCATACATGTACATGGTTGGGGCGGAAATGCCTCCTAAATGTATGCTTTTATATTGATACTGAATTACAGAAACGTGCTAAGCAGCAGTTTAGGAATAAGATGTATGTATGTATGTATGTACATGAACAGATTAGACTCAAACGAGGAAGAAGGTATGGAGGTGAGTATGGAGAAGAAGAAAGGATAAAGCAAAGATTAACAGAAGTAAGAGAAACCGAAACATGAAGACAAAGAGAAAGGTAAATTTAAATTCTTCATAGTATACATATGTCATCGCAAAGATGTGGGTGAATATGTAGATGGAGAAAAGAATGAAGATAAAGATCTGGTTAAAAGTTAAGGAAATGATAAATATAAAAATTAAAAGATAAAGATATAGAAAATAATATATGTAGATAAAGGTAGAGACAAAGACAGAA